GGCTGCCGTGGGGGTGGGGTGTGTGTGTGTGTGTGTGTGTGTGTGTGTGTCCTGGCTGCCCACAGCTCTGGCCTGAGGGCTTTGGCCGGGCGACAGAGCAGCTGTGGGGAGTCGTTGCCCGGCCCCGTGGCGTTTGGGGCTTCTCAGCCTGGCAGTCCCGTCCTGGGGCACTGGAGCTGCCGCCAGGCGAGAGGGCCGCGCAGTGTTGTGTGCCCTCGCGGTTCAATTCCCGGGAGCTGCCCCTGCTCACAACTCAGGAAAGCCTCTCCCAGGGAGACAGAGAGGCTGGGCCAGGAACCCTTGTTCAGGAGCTGGTAGACCCGGCTTTGAATCCCAGCAACTCCACGATCAGCTCCAGCTGTATGATCTTAGGCAAGCCATTCAACCTCTCTGGGCTCAGTCTTGCATCTGTAAAACGGCCGTAACACCTTGGCCTTTGCAGGTTATGAACTTGAGAGTGAATAGGTGCATGTGGGCACCTGGCCTGACAGTGTTTTCTGCTGTTGTGACTGCAGAGAGCTGGTCCGGGGGAGCTTTGCGATGGGGGCTTCTCAGGCCGGGGGCCTGATCTTGTTTTGTAAACCCTACAACACGGGGCTAGCGTGTGTGGTTAATACACACAAAAGGCCTCGTGGGGAATAAAAAGTGGTAGGTTTAGATTTAGAGGCTGTAAACGAGTGGGCGGCACAGCTCCAGTGTTTTCGTTAGCTGCTGTCATTCATAAATCAGGATTTCATGTAGAAATCGGCTTCGCCACTTGGCTCAATGCTTTGGGCTCTTTGGTAGTTGTGGGCCCAACCCCTGCAGGGCCGCCCGGGTTAAACAGGGCTTGTGGACGCCTGCCTGGGCCCGGAGAGAGCCGGGGGGGTCCAGGACCCCTGGCAAACAGCTTCCTCCCCCCGCCCCCGAATAAGGGGTCTTCCCATTTTGTTCCTGGGATTTGTGGAACAGGGGCTCCCAGTGCCTGAGGTGGCTCCCGGATCCAAGGTGGGCACTCGCTGGGGGACTTTGCGGGGACTCAGGGACTCCAGGGACTCTTCCGCCTGTGGGGGCTCTGGACTCTTCCTCTCACAGCTCTTGCTGGTGGCCATCTGTGCCCTTTGTGACTGCCCTGAGCCTTCTCACATGTTACGCCCTCCCCACCCTCTGCCAACAGCCCTGTCCTGGTTCTGGGCTCAGGCAGGCCTGGGGGATGTTGGGAGCCTGGACTCCTGGTCCAGGGCTGCTCCGGTGAACAGGGGTCCACTGGGACCATGGCAGCTGCCTGCAGGCCTCAATCCCTGCACGTAGGGATTGCACATTTTTGGGTACCTTTCTCTCTTTGGGGACTGGGAGCTCTGGGGTTGGGGGAGAGAGCTTGCCTGGCACATGGGACGTATGTAGGGGGCCCAGGGGGCCACAGGCACAATTAACTGCCTCTTTGGAATAAACGAATGAGCAAATGAATGAGTGGTGCTGGGAAAGAGGGAGCCCATCCTGGCATCTGCTCCCAATTTTGTCATAAAGGGCCCACTGTGCTCCCTCTCTGAGGTTTGGGCTCCATTTCTACGAAGTGGAGCTTGTAAACTTCTCAACTTTTTGTCGGTGGAAATTTTTAAAATATATGTAAAACATGTAGTCTTATGTGGAAGCTTAACGTAACAGGAATGCACAGGGGATGGTCAGGGAGGAGCAGGCGCGGGGGAGTCTGAGACCCAGGGCACACTAAGGAGCCCCAGTAATCGGGTGAGCATGGTCTCGGCTCAGGACCTGCAAACAAACCCCACACGCATGGTCACCTGACTTACCACACAGGTGGCTTCACTGAACTTCTTGAGGAGAGAATGGTGGCTCTTCCAGAAGCTGCTGGGGTCATTAGACGCCCACGTGGAAGAAAGGGCTGAAGGCTGATCCCTGCCTCCTGGCAGACACAAAGATGTCTCCCTGGGCAAGTGAAACAGTCAGACTTGTAGGGCAGTGCTGTCCAGTAGAAGTTTCTAGACGATAGAAATGGTCTTTATCTGTGCTATCGGACATAACAGCCACTAGCTGTGTGTGGCTTTTGAGCATTCACAATGTGACTGGTGTGACGGCTGGACTGAAATTTTAATTTCATTTTTTAAGCTTATTTATTTTTAGAGAGAGAAAGAGAGAGCGAGGACATGTGCAGGAAGGACTGGCAGAGAGAGAGAGGGAAAGAGAGAGTCCCAAGCAGGCTCTACACTGTCCGCACAGATCGAACTGGGCTGGAACTCACAAACTGTGAGACCGTGATCTGAGCCGAAATCAAGAGTCAAAGGCTTAACTGACTGAGCTACCCAGGCGCCCCTGAATTTCATTTGTAATCCAGTTAACTTTATTAAAAAAATTTTTTTTAATGTTTTATTTATTTCTGAGAGAGAGAGAATGAGCAGAGGAGGGTCAGAGAGAGAGGGAGACACAGAATCCGAAACAGGCTCCAGGCTCCGAGCTGTCAGCACAGAATCCGAACCGGGGCTTGAACCCACGAAACCATGAGATCATGACCTGAGCTGAAGTTGGGTGCTCAACTGACTGAGCCACCCAGGTGCCCCCAGTTAACTTTAATTAGTTGCCTGTGGCTAGTGGCTGCTGCGGTTCTGGGAAACCCGGGGAACCAGCCCTGTGCACAGAGCCTCAAACAGGACCTAGAAGTCAGGTGTGGGCTCAGGTTGATGACTCAGGCCCAGGGGCTGTGAGGCCTGGTCCTGCTTGCCCCTGGTCCCCATCCTTCCCGGATGCGGCCAGTCCGCGTCCAACCCGGGTCTGCTTTGTGTCTCCACAGAGCTGAGGACCCCGTGCGTCGGGTGAGCCCGGCCTGGACGCAGAGGAAGAGGCCGGTGGTGCGGTGAGCAGCCCGGCCGCGGAGCAGCGCAGGACCCAGTGCCCATGTGGCTGCCTGCCTGGGGCACCCCCGCCCGGCGCCGCCTGCCAGGCCCCGGGAGGCCGGAGGCCTAGGTCCACCGGGGTGGGGGTGGGGGGCGGTGTCCGCCCACAGATGCTGCCCAGGCCGCGGGGTCTCCCGAGGGGACTGCCGGGCGGGCGGGCCTCGGGCAGAAGATGCCGGCCAAGGGGCGCTACTTCCTTAACGAGGGCGAGGAGGGCCCGGGCCAGGACGTGCTCTACGAGAAGTACCGCCTCACCAGCCAGCACGGGCCGCTGCTGCTCACGCTCCTGCTGGTGGCTGTCACTGCCTGCATCGCCCTCATCGTCATCGCCTTCGTCTGCGGGGTGAGTGAGGCGGCCCGCGGGCGGTCCAGGGCTGGGCTGGTGCTGGCGACGCCTCGGGGAAAGTCACGGGCTTCTCAGCCTCGGGGTCCGTATCTGTGAAGTGCTCCGGGAGCATCCTTAGGCTGTGGAAGACACGCTTTTAATTTTAATTTAGTTTTGAAGTCCCGGGTGCTTTGCGATCTTCCGTTAATTCGGCCGAGTAAACTACCCTCCCTTTTCTGTAAAACCTTGTCGGGTCTCCTGAAGACCTAGCTCCCGGCCGGCCTGCTCCCGGTTCCTGGCCCTGCTCCTGGAGCCCTGCGGTGGCCGCAGGGCCCTTCTCCACACTGCTCTCCAGGCAGACGCCACTGCTAGGCCCTGCCGCTCCATGGCCACCGCGCTCCATACGTGGCTAGTGTGGCTGCGGAGCTGAACTTAAGCCACTGGGTGGCTCAGTCCGTTAAGCGTCCGACTTTGGCTTAGGTCGTGATTTCATGGTTCATGGGTTCAAGCCCCTGTGTCAGAGCCAGGAGCTTACTACAGATTCTGTATGTCCCTCTCTCTCTGACCCTCCCTTGCTCACACTGTCTCTCTCTGTCTCTCAGAAATAAATAAAACATTAAAAAAGTTAAAATAAATTGCTGTCCTTTTTCTCTCTCTTTTCTTTCTTCCTTCCTCTTTCTTTTCTTTTCTTTTCTTTTCCTCTCTCCCTCCCTCCTTCCCTCCTTCCCTCCTTCCTTCCTTCCTTCCTCGAGCATCAGCAGGGTAGGGGCAGAGAGAGAGAATCCCAAGCAGTGCAGAGCCTGATGCAGGGGCTCGATCCCATGAACTATGAGACCATGACCTGAGCCAAAACCAAGAGTTGGATGCTTAACCAACTGAGCTGCCCAGGCGCCCCTGAGGAACTGATTTTTTTTTTAAGTTTATTCATGTATTTTGAGAGAGAGAGAAAGTGTGAGTCGGGGAGGGGCGGAGGAGAGAGAGTATCCCAAGCAGGCTCCACGCTGTCAGCATGGAGCCAGACATAGGGCTCCAGCCCACGAACCTTGAGATCATGACTGGAGCTGAAGCTAGATGCTTAACTGACTGAGCCTCCCAGGTGCCCCTGAATTTCCAATTAATGTACTTGAGTAGCCACACGTGGCTAGTAGCCACTGTATGGAGCAGCAGAGTTCTAGAAGAAAACGCCAGAGACTACAGGGGGTTGACAGGGTGATATGGGTACAGTAGCCAGCACTCAGTGCGTGCTTTGTCCTGCTGCCTGATTTCTGTGGCTAGAAACCACAGGACATTGGCTTCTGCATTCAGCAAATAGTTACTGAGTGCCTACTGTGTGCTGGCCCTGGATCAGCCTCTGTGCCCATGGAGCTTAGGGGCTCCTGGGGGAAACATGCACTGTCTCACCTGTGACCCTCCTTTCCTACTAACCACCTCCCAGTGTCACACCTCTCTGTCTCTTTGCTCCCGCTCCCCTGGCTGGGGTGCCTTTGGTTTGCCTTTCCTCCTAGACCTCCATTCATTCTGTAACAGGAGCAGTGGCCTGTCCCCCAGGAGGCTTTCCATGGCCCCCCTCCTGTCCTCTGGTGCCGTCTGCTCCCTGCATGTGTGCACAGAGCACCCTGGGAGCGGGGGAGGCCTGACGGGGAGGGTTTGGGCAGTGCTAGCATCACGGGGCTGGGCTGTGTGGGATCTCGGGGCTGCACAGAGAGCGACTGGCGAGAGGTGGTGGCCAAGGCAACCTTAGTTGAGACAGCAAAAGCCCGAAGCTGAGGAGGAGCTTGGTGTTTAGAGGGCTCAGAGACGTCACCCATGTGGAGGAGAACACAGGTGACATTGCTCGGGACAGTCTGGACAGGCTAGCCTTGCGGGCTTCCTGGAGGAGGCAGTGCCTCACTGGGGAAAGCTGAGGCATTTCTGTGTATGTTTGCCCCATCCAGGACCCCTCTGGACACCAGACTGTCCTGGGGACGACCTTCTTCACACTTGCCGTGTTCGTGGTCCTCTATGTGCTGGTATATGTGGAGTGCCTCGTCCGGCGGTGGCTCCGGGCCTCGGCGCTGCTCATCTGGGTCTGCCTTATGATGCTGGGCTACGTGCTGGTGTTTGACTCGTGGAGGAAGACAACCCATGTGGGAGCACAGGTAACAGGGCAGGGGACCCTGGTGTCCCTGGAGGCTGGATGCCACCAAGCCTCTGTGCACCCTGCAACTCCTGCCCTCCCTGGGTATCAGGTCCCTCCTGGAGACGGGGCTTGCATTCGGCACGCTGGCCTTGAGCCTTCCTCCTCCCACGGGCCATGGGTCTGTGACATAGGGTGGGCCCTGAGCTGATCTTGTCCCGTTCCCTCTCTGAGCCGGAGAGATGGCTGAGCTGGGAAGAGCGCCCCTGTGGATGTCTGGCTGGAGCGTTGCAGGTGGACCCTCGTTTGGTCGGAAATGACACAACTCCAGCTGGGAGAGGCAGAAAGGCACAAACTAGCCAGTGGCCTGGGAAGGGCTGGGGGGGCGCCAGTCCTGGGGCTCCAGCGGGGTGGCCCAGTCCCAACCATCCTCTGCTCTGAGTTCCTCTGTGCCACTTCATTCCCGGGCAGGCCATCCTCAAGTCGAGCACAGATGCTGCAGAGGCTCTAGGCTGCCTGCCCCCCATCTTACCCACCCCAGCTCTCCAGCTTGGGTCACGTTGGCCTGGCTGGTCACTGTCACCAAGTGGTGGCGCCCTCTGACTGGTGGGCTGGACACACGGAGGCCAGGCAGGCTGGGAGCTGGGGGCAAGCGGCCAGGATGGTGGTGGGTGCAGGCGGCCCTACCCTCGCCTCTGGCAGTCACCACTGCTGCGGAGGGAGGGCCCCGGCAGCGGGTGCCAGGCGGGAACTCCCTGGGTCACGAGGGCCTAGAGCCTCACTCCTGGGGAGGCCTGGCCTTGGCCCCAGATCACACATCAGCTCCTAGGAAATGATGGATACTGTTGGCTGGGTCTGATTCAGAAGCAGAGTTTGGCTTTTTTTTGTTCCGTGGCCAGTCTGTCACCGTCTGTCACCACTGGGAGGGGAAGGAGCCGCCCTGGGGGCAGAGGGCTCAGGATTCGGGGTTCTGGGGCCATTTCCAGAAGATAAGAGACTTCAGGGGTCCCCACGTCAGCTCCGTCTGGGGCTGAGTCCTGGGGCAGGGGCAGCGTGGCCGGTGCCTGAGCCTCGCGCTGCCCCGCCCCCAGGTGCCCTTCTTCCTGTTCATCGTCTTCGTCGTGTACACGCTGCTGCCCTTCAGCATGCAGGGGGCCGTCGTGGCGGGGGTGGTCTCCAGCATCTCCCACCTCCTGACGCTTGGCGCCCTGATGGGGGCCTTCACAACGCCCAGTGTCCGGGCAGGGCTGCAGGTGAGGTGTGCACAGGGGTCCTGGAGTGGGGCAGGTGGAGGCAGGGGCTGTGGTTTGGGCCTCACAGGGCAGCAGAGGCCATGTGGGTGAGTTGGGCCTGAGGCCTCAGTGCCCCGTTTGCAGACAGACGGCCTCCAGGCTGGGCTTTCTCCCAGTCGGCTAAGGAAGCCAGCCCCCCAGGGCGGGGACATGCCTGTGGCCTTTTTTTCCCCGGCCTGTGCTACCCCAGATGATCCGGCCCTCCTTCGCGGGTCCACTGCACCTCTGGGTAGCTCAGTGTCACCTGCAGAGTCCTGTCCTGACAGGGCTGGGAGTACCCCTGGCACCCTGTCTTGTGTCCTTGCACTGAGTGAAACGTGCACAGTCGGTGGTGGCCAGCAGGTGCACTTTCCTTGGGCCAGGCTGGCGTTAGCTCTGGGAGACAGAAGCCGGAGCTCTGGGCACCCATCGGGGCACTAAGCCTTCTGCCACTGTCCTCTGGGCTCTGTGAGATGATGCGCTTCTGCTTCCCGGGTCTCTGGGGCCCCAGCCCTGCGGCTGCAGAAAAGGGCCTGAGACCTGGTCTAATAGTCACAGTGACTCTAGAGGACCAGCACCTGTCTGGGCCTCAGTTTCTCGGCCTGTCTGGGAAGGGTGCTGGCCCGAGCGGGTTGGAGGTCAGAGAATGGGGCTGGGGTGCCATCACCAGCCCGCCGAGGAGGCTGGTACCCCCAGGGCACGGGCCAGGCCCGGCACTGAACCCGCTCTCGGCCCGCCCTCAGCTACTGGCGAATGCCGTCATCTTCCTGTGCGGGAATCTCACGGGTGCCTTCCACAAGCACCAGATGCAGGACGCCTCCCGAGACCTCTTCACCTACACTGTGAAGTGCATCCAGATCCGTCGTAAACTGCGCGTCAAGAAGCGCCAGCAGGTGTGGACCCTGCCTCTCCCTAGAGCCGCAGCCCTGCCTTCCCCGGCCGTCCCCAGATATCCCCAGCCTCGCTTGCCCTCCCTGGCCATCCCTGGCCACCCCTGGTCCTCCCTGGTCCTCCCCGGCCATCCCTGGCCACCCCTGGTCCTCCCCAGCCACCCCTGGTCCTCCCTGGCCATCCCTGGCCCTCCTGCCCTGCCTGGCTCTCTCCCAGGCCCCACGCCCTGTGTCCTTTCTCCATGGATGTCAGACATCACTGAACAGCGTGTGCGTGGGCTGCATGACTGGACACCCATGCAGGCCTCACCCTGGGGGGTTGCTGGGGGACACGGGAGGCTGGTGGCAGGACACGGGGCAGCAGAGATGGAGGGTGCCGTAGGCAGAGCAGGAAGGAACGTAGAGAAACCCGCGGCCAGGTCACCTGGGTGGGGCCTCACGCGCCTGCCTGTCCTCCCCCGGTGCCCAGGAGAACCTGCTGCTGTCGGTGCTGCCCGCCCACATCTCCATGGGCATGAAGCTGGCCATCATCGAGCGGCTCAAGGAGCGCGGGGACCGCCGCTACATGCCCGACAACAACTTCCACAGCCTGTACGTCAAGCGGCACCAGAACGTCAGGTGGGTCCCTCAGGGGGCTGGGGGGAGGTGAATCTGGGCCTCAGTCTCCCCATTTGTTTCCCCAGGGGCTGGGATTTGGCCAGATTGGTGTCGGGAGAGGCCCAGGGGCCCCCTAAATTTGTGAGGCTTCGTGCATAAGTGGGGCTTTTGGGAAGAGAAGTGTCCTTTCAGGTGATCCTAAAGGGGCCACAGTCCCCCTCCCCCAAAGAGAAGTGAAGTCCCCTGGTCCTGACAGCCGTCTTTAGCGGGTTCAAAGCGGCTACAGAATCTTGCTTGAATGCACCAACCTCAGTGAGGTTGTCTGTGAGCTGGTCTGGAACTCACGGACTTTGAGCTGGGAGATCTGGTGCCAACTGAAGCTCTGGCTTTGAGGCAGACCTGGACCAGAGCCTCAGTTTGCTCATCTGTGGCATGGGAGCCCTCCGAGGGTAGCGTGTGTGTCGAGCGTTGGGCGTGGAGCTCAGCTTGAGGGAGCATGAACTCAAGTCTCACCAGGGGCTCGGTTCTGAAGGATGTGCAAAGGTGGGGGGGGGGGGTAGGAGGGCGTTCCGAGGCGTCTGTGACGGCACCACCCTGTGGTCCGCAGTGACAGCGGCTTGGGGCTGGCAGTCCTCACCAGCCCCATGACTCCGGGGCATGCCGCGTTCTGCCTTTATGAAGCCTCCAGAGCATCAACTCACCTCTATGGCCCCGAGCTTCTCCCCTGTCTCTGCAGAGGCTGAGGAGAGGCCGGGGTGGCTGGGGCCAGGGCTGGCGGGCGCTCGGGGGCTTCCAGGGACCCGGCTCTGACCCTCCTGCTGCACCCCCGCCCCCAGCATCCTCTATGCCGACATCGTGGGCTTCACGCAGCTGGCCAGTGATTGCTCCCCCAAAGAGCTGGTGGTGATGCTGAACGAGCTCTTCGGCAAGTTTGACCAGATCGCCAAGGTGAGCCCGCAGGCCCTTGTGCCGCCCCCACCCCCCATTGCTCCCAGGGGTGGCGTGTGCCCAGTGCTGTGCTGAGATGGGTGGGTGGAGGCCTGACTTTGAACATTCAGTCAGGAAACACTTCCGAGTGCTCTGTGGTGGGGGGTTGAGTGGTGCCAGAATCCTGTCCCCAGAGTGTGAGGCCAGTGGGGGGACTGTCAGTACATGTGGGGGGACGCACAGGGCTCAGAGCTCAGAGGGGGCTCAGGGGGGCTGCCTGGAGGAGGAGATAGCTCCATCCCAATCCCCGAGGGCATCAGAAGCCGGCCTTCCCAGGGAGCCTGGGAGGGCTGTGTACAATGCCAGGCCTCAGCCACAGTGTGCCTTCTGACAAGATCACCAGTGAACTGTGTGCATGTTTGAGAAACCTAAAGAGAAACCTAAAAAGAGACCCTGAAGAGGAAAAGGAACAGTTCTGGGCAGAAGGAACAGCATGTGCAAAAGGTTGGAATAGAAAGAAGCCTCTGGGAGCCCTTGGAGTGCACGTGGCTCAGTGTGAGTGGGCAGAGGACCAGGGAGATGAAGTCCCAGGGTCAGACGTGCACGGACTTAGGGCTGAGACGAGGAGAACTTGATCCCGGGACCCTGAGGAACATGGCAGGTGCCAGAGTGGGTCGGGGGGAGCATTGGGTGAGGAGGGCCTCCCGGGTACGGCTGGGCAGGGAGAGGTCTGAGATCGGGCAGGGCTGGGCTGGAACCTCACTGTTCTGCAGCGCTGGGACCAGAGGAGGGGGCGGGGAAGGGACGTTCGTGGGCTGCGGGGTCGCGTGTGTATGCATGCGCTGTTATTCATGAACTTACCAAATGGTCCTGAGACCTTCCAGGAGGCAGCCTTGAGCTCAGATGGGGGCCTTGGCCTGCCCTCAGGTTGCTCCCAGCCCGTATGCCATGTGCTTTGGTGGTGCAGGGAGCTTGGGCGCCTGGGAGCAGCCGTCCCAGCTTCCGGTGAAGACAGGCTTAGTGGGGCCACTAAGTAGAGACCCAAGGGTTAACCCTGAAGGCAGACGCTGTCTGTGCGGGCTGCACATCTGAGCCAGGTTGAAAGCTTAAATAAAATGCCCACACCCGGGAGAGTTTTGAGGCGCCTCCCGGGTGACTCCGTGTGTGGAGAGCCAATGGTCGGGACCTTGATGGGAGGCTAGTTCGGGCCCCACAGCGGGAAGACTTCTTCACGGTCAGCGCTGCTCTGTTCTGGGAGGGACTGGCCCACCAGGAGTGGCCTCTGTCTTAGGGAATGGCCACCACGGGGGTGGCCAGACTACCAGAGGACGCTACTGGCCGGGGTGCTGTGGAGCACTGTCCCTCGGGGTGCTGGGGACTGAGTGAGTCAGAGAGCCTGTCCAGCCTGGAGGCTTCCTTTTGGAGCCTCCTTCTATCATGATGTCTCTTAAACGAGCAGGTGGGAGTTCCCAGGAGTTAGGCCATATGTGGGCCAGGGGCATTTCTGGTCACAGGTGGCCCTTTCCTTGCCACAAAGCCCAGGGACCCGCCCTTGAACTCTTGGGCACCGCCCCCCTTCTGTGGCAGGTGCAGGATGCAGGTCCTTAGTACTGACGGGAGAGGGACGCCTTCCAGCCGGGGTGCTAGTCCCTGGGCAGGGCTGGTCCCACACTTCTGTCAGCAGATTCCAGATCCGTGCCCTCTTCCCGAGAGCCGGGGCGGCTCTCCCAGAGGCCCCTGCACCGCACGTGGGCTCCGGACCCCCCACCCCCAACACGCTCACACCACCTCCCCGGTTTCTCAGTGTCGGGGGGGACTTGCCAGCTCTGCGGGGGATCAGCCTGGGGGCGTGGGCCCCCCTAAGTCCCTGACGGGCAGCCCGGCTCCCGAGGGCCACGCTGTGCCTGTCCGGGGCGGAGACAAGGGTTGGCTGGAGCCCTAAGCCTGAGCCTCAGGCTGGGCCTCCAGGCCCTCTCCAAAGTTCCCGCTGCTTTCTAGAAAAGCCACTGTCTTCCCATCCCTCAGCAGCCAGGGCCCAGCAGGAAACAACTGGCACTCGCTCAGATGAGGTCATTGGAAGAAGGTTTAGTAAAGGGACTGCTCATAAAGGCGTGGTGGGTACGGGGACCGCGTGGGAGGGACGGTGCCCTACGTGGTCACTGAGGCTGGGCATGGGAGGGAATGGCACCACATCTGGAGACGGAGGACACCTGTGGTCCAGGAGGTGAGCCACCTTTTGGGACCATGCAGTAAGGGAGCTGGGGCACCAGTGCACCTGGCTTTCCTCCCCACCGGGAAGCCACAGGGCAAGGCCACCTGCTAAGTGCACCCTGAGGGGTGTGGCTGGGGACTGGAGCCAGCATGTAGCTCCTCCTTTACGGTCCCTAAACCCCACGCCCAAGGCCTTGGTGTGTGTGCCACCTTTGCCAAAGGGCTGGCAGAGGGCCTAGGGGCCACAGTACCACCTCAGATGGAACCCCAGACAGCCTGCCTGGGCCCCCCTTCCCCTCCAAGGCCATTTTCCTATGTGAGCCCAGCCTCTGCTCACTCCATCTTCCCTGTCTGTTTTCTCCCCACCCCAAGACCCTGCTGCTTTTCACCCGCCATGGTCACCTGGACACCTGCAGACCCCAGCTTATGGCACCTGCCACCTGTGTCTTCGTCTCTTCTACTCCCTCCACTCCAGCCAACAGCTTCCTGCCCTCAGGGCCTTTGCACATGCTGCGTCTTTCATCTGCCTGGAATGTTCTTCCTTACATACTGGCCTGGCTTGTTCGCTCGGTTCCTCTGGGCCTTTCCCAAATGATGCCTTTTCTGAGAGGCCTTCTCTGGTCTCCTGGAACTTCCTCTCCCCTCCCAGCCCTCCATTTTCTCCTTAGCACTGACCACCACTGGGTGTCTAGTTTAGCGCCTAACTGCCGCTGGGCGTGAGCCCACGTTGTGGGGGATTTTGTCCATTTTGCTCACCGTGTGTTCCGGTGCCTGGGGCAGAGCGGGGAGCTCATAGACCTCTCAGTGTCGCGTGCCTCTCCCAGACACTGAGGTGGCCATCCCTAGTGACGGCTGCTGTCGCCCCGGACGGTTGCTGAGGGTTCCTTCTGGAGAGTCCTCTGTGTCCACCGTCCTTTTGTCCGGCTTGGAAGCAGCCACTGGTGGCTGGTGGGCCAGCTGGTGGCCTCTGGCCGTGAAGGAGTCTGGCTTACCCTGGAGGGCCCGGGGACGTGGCTGACCTGGGTGGACCCCGGCTTTCAGCCATTGGCCGACAGGCCCCTGCTTGCCTTGCCCTGCAGGCCAATGAGTGTATGCGGATCAAGATCCTGGGCGACTGCTATTACTGTGTGTCGGGCCTGCCCGTATCGCTGCCCACCCATGCCCGGAGCTGCGTGAAGATGGGGCTGGACATGTGTGAGGCCATTAAGTAGGTACCGTGGGCACAACTGATTCACCATAGGGAAAGCATTGTACCCATTTTGCAGATGAGGAAGCTGAGGCTCGGGGTGACGGTGGCTGGCCTGGGTCACTCGGCAGCCCTGGCTGGGGTGGGGTGACCGACCTGCTCTGCCCAGGCAGGTGCGAGAGGCCACAGGTGTGGACATCAGCATGCGTGTGGGCATCCACTCGGGGAACGTGCTGTGTGGTGTCATCGGGCTGCGAAAGTGGCAGTACGATGTGTGGTCCCATGATGTGTCTCTGGCCAACAGGATGGAGGCAGCTGGAGTCCCTGGGTGAGGCTCAGCGGGACGTGGCGGGGTCAGAGGCATGGGTCCACTCTGGGCGGGGGGCGGGTCAGAGGTGGGAGCGCTGACTTCGTGACGCTCCCGCCCCGGGTGCCAGCCTCCTCCGGGCCCCGCTGCTCTGACTCGTGTCTCCCCAGCCGGGTGCACATCACCGAGGCCACGCTGAACCACCTGGACAAGGCCTATGAGGTGGAGGACGGGCACGGGCAGCAGCGGGACCCCCACCTGAGGGAGATGAACATCCGCACCTACCTGGTCATCGACCCCCGGGTATGAGGGCTCTGGCTGGGGGCGGGAGGGCCTCGCCTCGGGGACCCTCGGGAGCAGGCTCCGCACCCCAGGGGAAGACACCTGTGGAGGGGAGAGTGCTTTTCTCTTCCAGGCTGTGGAGATGTGGGGTGGGAGTGAACTTCTCGTCACGCAGTATGTTCTAAGCTCCAGGCAGCTTCTCTGGGCCTCAGTGTTGTTGTCTGTGATATTGGAATACCAACAATGTCTACCTTAGCAGGAGGAAGAGCCAGTCTGAGCCAGGCACTCACCACTGACTGGGCACCTCATAAACATTCTAGAAGTGATCATCACTGGTACTTTACTTCCTAGATTTTGAAAAGACGGTTTGTACAATGTGCTTTGGCTAAGACTCAGGAAAGCAGGGAAGGGCCGGGGACCCCCAGGCAGGGGCTTCGGTGTGTCCTGGGTTCTGCCCCCCAGTGGCTGCCTAGCTGGCTGACCCCAGCTTGCTCAGGACCTCGCAGTGGGGTAGGTGCTGGGCTGCCTCAGGCCCCACGCCCACGCAGGCCCCTCCTTCCCGCTGCGGGAGGCCAGCTCGTCTGGCAGCCTCGGTGAATCATCCTTGGGATCCGCTCAAGAATGTCGGCCACGGCAGGCTCTTTCCAGCAGCCTTGGCCCGACCTCCGGTCTGTGGGGGAGCAGAGGGCCAGCCTGTGAGCCTCCGCGGCCCTGGGCCGTCATCCTGCTGCTGTTCCTCAGGGACGGGAGTGGGTCAGCAGCCTCCCTCCCCTGCTGCAGGCCGTGGATGCGGAGTGAGCATGTGGGGAACCCTTTCCGGGTACTTGGGGCTGTCACGGAATACAGTGCGGCCCCCCCCACCCCCGTACCTACAGCTCTGGGCCCCACCCTCTTCTCTACCCACCCCTCCCTCCCAAGTACCCTTTGGCCCCTGTCCCTCCACTGCCAGGCTCTTTGTACCCCAGGACCCTTGCTACTGTTGCCGTCTCTGCCCACAGCCATCTTCGCTGTTGCCAATGCTCCCGTGTATTTGTCCTCTTTGCTTATTTACTGTCCTCGTGAGCTGCACGTGGGCCGCCTTGGGGTGCGGGGCCCCCTCTTCTCCAGGCCGCAATCCCTGCACCTCGAGCGGTTCCCGGCAGTGGAGCAGGCACTCAGAGAGCCCATGAGCAGGTGAAACGGAGTCCCAGCCCAGCCGGGCAACCACGGGGCTCCTGGGCGAGCCTGGGTCTCACATAAACGGCAGAGAAGACGTTAGCATGAGCGTGTTTGGGGCAGGGTCTTGGGCATCCGACACTTTACCCAGCAGCCCTGCCTGCCCCCATCTTAGTTGAATGTCATTCATTCACAGACTTGAAGATACAGAAGACACGAAGGGACGTTGGGGACAGTTGCCCCCACGGGCCGTGTGCGACCGGCCTGTCCCCGTTAAAGGGACCGTGTAGGCGAGTTTCTTGAGTGTCTTGCACAGACAGGTCTGTGCACACATAAATAGACGGAGAGATGACCGTCTGCCCTTGCTAAGCGCAGGGTCGCGTGCCCCACCCTGTGGTTCCTTGCTCTCCTCCCCTGATGACGTGCTTTGGAGACCTGTCCTTATGTACTCAGAGGCCACCGTGGGCCAGCTCAGGGGCCCCTCCTGTTGTGCCCTGTGGGTCCTGCCCCAACTTGGGCCTCTGTGGGCTCTGTCTACCACCGTTTCTTCGGTGTGAGGATACCAAGGGCGTAAGTGTCCAGAGGTGGCAGCTGGGGGTCACCTGTGGGCCGCTAAAGATCGCAGGTGCACCCTGGGTCCCGCTTCTGAATAGGTGCATTTTTACTCTGAGCTGATGGATCTTTATTTACTTATTTATTATTTGTTCTTAAATTGTTTTAGCGTTTATTTTTGAGAGAGAGAGAGCATGAGTGGGGGAAAGGCAGAGAGAGAAGGAGACAGAAGCGAAAGCAGTCTCCAGGCTCTGAGCTGTCCACACAGAGCCCACCGCAGGGCTCGAACTCACGAACTGTGAGATCATGACCTGAGCCGAAGTCAGATGCTTAACCAACTGAGCCACCCAGGCGCCCCTATTTATTTTTTATTTAAACAAAAAAATTTTAATGTTTATTTTTGAGAGAGAGAGAGAGTGAGCAGAGGAGGGCCAGAGAAAGAGACAGACACAGAATCTGAAGCAGGCTCCAGGCTCCAAGCTGTCAGCACAGAGCCCAGTGTGGGGCTCGAACTCGTGAACTGTGAGAACATGACATGAACCAAAGTCAGATGCTGCACCGACCGAGCCCCCCAGGCGCCCCTGAGCTGATGGATCTTCAGTACACATTTATTTCTTGGGGAGCCCGGGCGTCTGAGAAGTGCTGGTGACCCTGAACTTGAGCGGCCAGGTGCTGTGTGGGCGGAGACAGTATGGCCACCCCCTGTCCCCAGGGCAGGTCGCTCTCTGCAGGGCACAGCACATTCGGGACCCCAGGACCTTCCACAGAGGCTGTATTCCAGCTGTTCCTTCCGGCGGCCAGACAGACATATCTCAGGGTTTAAAAATGTTTCTATCCCGAAAGGAGGCTGGAAGTTTCCAGGCAAGCTGCCGCCTGTGGCTCCGCGACTGTTTGTGGCTGTAGGTGCTGGTCCGTGTGGGTGTTTGCAGGGACCTATGGGGATAGGGACTCCTGGAGGGCAGGAACCGTCACAGGGTAGGGGGACTTGCAGATGACCCCAGCTTGTCTCTGGGGACGTTGGCGCTCTTTCTCCTCGCTCCCCCTGTTCCAGTCCCAGCAGGGGGAGGAGATCCCCAGCTGTGGTTCTTTGTGGGGGAAGGGGGCTGTGGAGGAGGCAGGGCCTGGCTAAGGCACCCAGACACGGCCATGGCAGGTCCGTGGCAAGTGACGGTCCCTGCCGTGGTGTGGGGGCCACACGAGGGGACTGCCCTGGACCGCAGCCCCCAGGGGTGGGGCTGGCCCCTTGGTTGGCCGGTGCTCCGTCTCTCTGGGTTCCTGGCCCACACTCCTCTTCCTGCAGCTGCTCCTTCAGGAAGGACATGTGCCGGCCACATGCGGGTGGGCAGGGTAGGCTGCTTGTGGCTTTCCTAGGCACTGTCTCCCCAGGGTGTCCCTGTGGGGAGAGGCCAGTGGGCCTTCAGGGCCCGAGGACAGTGTCTGGTTCCAGAGAGCTTCACGGGCCCAGTGGGGCCTTAGGGCTTAGCGCTTTAACCCGATCTTTCCCTGGGGACATGGGGAAGGGTCTGGGGAACTGTGCACAGTGGCGTGTGACCCCAGTCTCCTGGCCGCCTGGGGAGGACAGGGCTGGAGCCCAGCCGTAGGGAGCCCTGGGCCGCAGCCAGTCCCCAAGGAGATCGCAGACCCAGCGTTGTGTCTGCCATTTTCTCCCTCCGCCAGCCTGGCCAGCACTCTGAGCAGCAGTCGGTTTCAGGGGGGAGCAGGATAGGGACGGGGTGGCCCCTTCCTGGGCTGAGGGGCGGGGACCGGACAGGCCGTGTGTGTGTCTGCCCACAGAGCCAGCAGCCGCCCCCGCCCAGCCAGCACCTCCCCAAGCCCAAGGGGGATGCGGCCCTGAAGATGCGGGCGTCCGTGCGCATGACCCGCTACCTCGAGTCCTGGGGGGCCGCGCGGCCCTTCGCGCACCTCAACCACCGTGAGAGCGTGAGCAGCAACGAGACCCCTGTCCCCAACGGACGGAGGCCCAAGGTAGGACCCTCCCTCCCAGCCTGCTCAGCGCCTGCCCCGCGTGTCCGAGGGTGCGGGAGATGATAGCCCAGTCTCCGGACAGACTTAGGGGTCCTGCGTCACAGAGTAACGGTTCCCCCTCTCCCTTCCCTTCCAGGCCATTCCCCTGCGGCGCCACCGGGCCCCTGACAGGTATGTGCACTGTGCCCTCCTCTCTGTCAACCTGTGGCCCCTTTTCCTGGCCAAGTCCTGCCCCTGCCACCTCCTCCAGGCAGGCTGCCTTGACCATCCTCTGTCTAGGCAGGCAGCTCTGAGAGGCCCAGCCTTGACCGTGGAGTTTGCCATGGTTTGGCTCAAAGTGTTTCTAGGAATCAGAACTTCACAGTAAGAGAGTGTGTACCCACCCCGTGGCTGGGTGGGTGGGGTGGGTGTGAGGGAACCGTGTGCGCTTAGCGGAAGAGGCTTTAGCTGGGGGCCGAGGTCTGCCCTCTGCTTCTTGTTGGGCCGCTGGCCGGCTGGGTGATGCTGCTTGAGGTGGGGCCTGCCCAGACCTCTCGGGGCCTCAGCGGGACCCCCCATGTCCCCCAGGCCTTCGCGGGACCCTCCCATGTCCCCCGGGAGACATCTGGGGACCCAGTTGGGTGACCCCTCTCGTCTGTACTCCTGCCTTCGGGCAGGTCGCGGCCCTGGGGTGACCCGGTTTTGTGTTCCCGATCCAGGAGTGCGTCCCCCAAGGGGCGGTCTGAGGACGACTCGTACGATGAGGAGATCCTCTCGGCCATCGAGGGGCTTAGCTCCACGAGGTGAGACTCTGAGGCCTCTGCTTGTCCCGTCCCCCTCGGTGGGGGTCCCCGTTTGGCCAGGCCCACCCTGCACTCTCGTGCCTGGTGGCCCAGCTCCAGCTGTGTCCGCGATGGCCCCTTCGCCTCCTGAGGGGGGGCCCGTCTGCTCCCCCATCTCCTCCCGAGGGTGGGCCCCCTAGTCCCCCAGGCCCCGTGGCTCACTGCCTGTGTCCGCCACCCCCCAGGCCCTGCTGCTCCAAGTCCGATGACTTCTACACTTTTGGGTCCATCTTCCTGGAGAAGGGCTTCGAGCGAGAGGTGAGGGCAGGAACGGGGGCTCCGAGGCCTGGTGGCGGGGGTGGGGTGGGGGGCGGGACCTACACTCCCACGCCTGTTCAGGGAGGGTGGTGGGGAATCGCTCCGGCTGGCCGTGGTCAGGGGTGGGGGGCTCACCTTCCAAGGACGCCCCTTCCGGTGCTGGCGGCTCCGCTGATGAGGGCCAGCGCCCGCCTCGGTCTCACGTAGCAGCCTTGTAACTAGGAAAAAACTGCAGCTTAGTTCTGTTCTTGAAAGGGGCTGAGTGCTTCTCCTTTCTGGCTGTAATGTGCTTTTGTACCACTGCCAACTTTTTACTTACTTATTGAGCACCTACTGGGTTCTGGCAATGTCCCCAGTACACGCGTTATATCACTGAAACCTCACGGATGGGACGAGGGGGCCGCCACTACCTGCATCACAGACCCCGGGAGCCCGCCATGGCCCCCAGTGTGACCAGTGCTGGGCCCCCTCCCCCCTCTCAGCCTCCAGGACTGGGGGGATCTTTCTCTAGTGGGGGCTCCCTGAGCTGGGAGCTCCCCAGGTGCGGAGCTCGGGATTTGGGGGAAGTGTGGTCGTCGAGAAACTAGCCTGGCAAGCCTTCCAACCAGCACTGTGACCTTGGGACAGGCGGGGTGGGGGCTGCTGGACTCTCTGAGCCTTGGGGTTGGTTGGTTTGTTTTTTATTTATTTTGAGAAAGAGAGCACAAGTAGGGGAGGGGCAGAGAGAGGAGGAGAGAATCCTAAGCAGGCTCTGCACTAAGTGTGGGGCGTGCTTCCACTGAGGTCTCATGACCAGATCATGACCTGAGCCAACATCAAGAGCCGACTGAGCTGCCCGGGTGTGCCAGCCTCGGTTTGCTCATCTGCGGTAGGAGCACTTACGGCTGGAGACCATGAGATTGTGTCCAGTATAGAGGGGCGGGTGGCACGAGCTAGCGGCTCAGCCCCAGAACTCAGACTTGGTTCCCACTACAGGCTTGGGGCCATGGGCTCTTCAGGGACCTGGGAGATCATTCCGAGCCCCCGGTCGGGTGGGGGAGGGGCAGGGACGGCTCCGGAGGTTAAGGAGCCACGCCCAGTGGAGCTCAGGAAGGTATTCGGTCATGGTGCTGTCCCATCATCACCTGGAACTCAAGGAGGGTGTGAGTTGTCTTTGAGGTGATTAAAGTGGAGCCGGGGTGGGCGATGAAGGGGTCAGAGCAAGGGGCCCTGTGGTGGAGCCTCGGCCACTCCTGACAGTCGCTGTCGCCCCCCAGTACCGCCTGGCGCCCATCCCCCGGGCCCGCCACTACTTCGCCTGCGCCAGCGTTGTCTTCATCTGCATCCTGCTCGTCCATGTCCTGCTCATGCCCAGGTCAGCCGGGCGGGCGGGACGGTCTGGCCCCGCTGGGGTCGGGCCCGGAGGGGCGGGGACCTGGCAGTGACCACTGGAACACGTGCCGGAGCAGTTTGACAGACGAAGGGGTTGGGGTTGTGGCCGCACATCTGGGGTCACTAGTGCTTATTTTTGTCTTCACTGTCCAGCTGCAGGCCTCCCCCCACCCCCAGTCCCCTGGGGGCCTTCCCACGTGCCACCATGGCCCAGGCTCGCAGACCATTGCCCTCTTAGATGTGGGAAACCGAGGCTCGGAGGGCCGAGTGCCCTATCCGGGTGCATGGCCAGGACATCAGGAGCCATGGAGATTGGTGCTTCTGCCTCAGAGGCCCTGCCGGGTCGGGGGCGGGGTGGGGCGCTGAGGTCACAGGGAAGGAGTAAGGTCAGCGACTTGGTGGTTTCTGGAAGGTGGGTTTGGCCAAGGGGTCTGCTAGGATTGGGGTTAGTATGTGCCGAAGGACAAAATGGGAAGCACTTTTATGCGGCGCTTCCGTGTGGGACAGGAGCCTACAGCCTGCGTGACCACCCCTTCCTTACACACGTGGCCCGGGCCCTGCGTGCCGTGGCTGGGGCGGCGGGACCACAGTGCCCAGAGACCCCTGTGCTGCGTGTATACAGTGGTCTGCGAGGGGCAGGAGGTGGCCGGGAGCCGGGGGACTGGGGTGCTGGGCAGGGGGAGCATGCCTATGGCCCGGCCCCGGGCAGATGGTCCCCCAGAACTAAGGTTTTCTCCTCTGCAGGACGGCGGCCCTGGGCGTGTCCTTCGGGCTGGTGGCCTGTGTGCTGGGGCTGGTGCTAGGCCTGTGCTTTGCCCACGAGTTCCTGGTGAGTGGGGCAGCCTGAGTGGGCACCTGGCCGGGCGCCGCCCCTACGGCCCTCCCGCTGCCTCCGCCCTTCCCCGGAGCCCTCCGCACCCAACTTTGCCCCTCCGGCCTGGCCGCCCGCCACGTTTGCTGAGTGCCCCTCCCAGTAGTCTGCCCTCCCAGGCTGCTGGTGGCCCTGAGCGGCTGTGGCTGTCCCCAGCCCGAAGGGTGGGCGCGTCCCTCTGTCTGCACCCCATGAGTGCTGAGCTGTGGGCTGGGCATGGGCACGGCGCACCTGCTGACTGTCCCTAGCACCCTCTGGGCCCTTGGACGGTGGGCTCCTTGTCCAGGTGCTGGCGCCGGCCCCCTGACCCCGTGCCTCCACAGAGATGCTGCCCGGCCCGAGGGACGTTGCAGGCCATCTCCAAGAGCGTGGAGACCCAGCCCCTGCTGCGGCTGTCCCTGGCCGTCCTCACCATCGGCAGCCTGCTCAGCATCGCCATCGTCAACCTGGTGGGTTCGGGGGCTGGGGAAGGTGGGCCCCGGCAAGGCACTTCCTGGGTGGAGGGAGCCGGTGTTTGAACCTGGGAAGCTTCAGCTTCTCAAATCCCATCGTCTGTTGCCTGAGAGCTGCATCTGGTGTAGCCCCCCCCCGACACACACACACACAGCATGGCGGGCAAGCTCCAGGAGGTTCCCGAGGGCGGCCTAGTTTGACCACGAGCACCCAGGCCCCCGGAGAGCTTGCGTGGCCAGCCCCACGAGGCCGCGGCATCTTGAACCAGCAGTGTGCTTGGCATCCTCCGCCGTCTTCGTGGTCCCGAGGCCCCGTCTTCCTCTCTCTGAGACTCCATTCCTTTGCTACGGGGCGGCCCCCCGGGCACAGGCTGGGGAGGACACGGAGCCCCTGCTTCTCAGGCCTTGCTCACTTGCTCAGTGCTGCAGACAGCACCTGTCCCTGCCGGTCCTCCCGGCTCTGACATCTAGAGCCGAGGTGTCTCCATGTCCTGGAGACTCTGTGCCCACCACACTCCGTGTCACCTGGGGAGAAGGGGGCTCATGGTCCAGGCCGATCCCAGCTTCTCCCCTGCCCGCCCCCTCCCCCCATCAGCCTCTGATATTCTGGGGACAGTGTGCGCATGTCTTCATTTCACACCCTTCTCTTCCCCAGACCCCTCCCCACTGCAGAGCTGGGGACTGTGCCGGGGTTGGTGGGGGGCGGGGGGGGGTCGGGGCACAGCGGCTCTGGCTGCACTTGGAGCCAAGGACTCGGGGCCCAGCACTCCAGCCTCTCCCCACCCAGCCCCCCCCTCGGCCCTGGCAGGTCCTGGAGTCCCAGGTCCCTGGACCGCCCCTCATGGTGACCTGCCTCCTCTGTAGCCGCTGATGCCTTTCCCAGGCAACCAGACGAGCTGGACGGATGCGGGCAGCAGGGAGCCGGCCCTGTGCGAGCTCCTCCCGGTGAGTGCAGCCGGACCTCTGGACACCGTGTCCCCCCACCCCCGGCTGCACTGCTCCCGTGCAGCTCGGGACGTTGAAGGCACTCATTCGGAGTGGTGGTGAATCCAGGGCTGGTCTCTGGAGGGCAGGAAGGTTAAGGGACAGGGGGGTGGAGCGGGGACAGTGAGGACAGCCAAGGCATGTAGTGGGGGCCGGCAGCACTTTGGGCGGTTGTGTCACAGGGAGGGGAGGGGGACAGTGGGGAGCTGGGGCAGGGGTAGGTTTGATCTAGATCTGGGGGCGCAGGCATAAGTGTCAGGGTGCAGAGCTTGGTCTTTCTGGGGGCAGTGGGGAGCCACAGCATGATCTTGAGCAGGAGAGGAACGTGAAGGGCAAGCCCCTGGCAGACCTGGAGGCAGGGAAGCCGTCCGGGTGTGTGCACGTACTGCTGCCCCCACCTTAGTCGCGTCCGCACGCCGCCTGCGGTTCTAGTGACCGCCGCCTCTTTTCCTTTAGACGAGTCAATGGGCCTCAAGTAGAAGTAAAAGTACAGTGAAGTTTTAGCTTCCGCCGTCTGCTTTGTTAAGGGAGGCCATCAAGGCAAGAGAGGCGTGCTGTAGACACGCTGGCTCCTCACGGGTCCCCCGAGGGGGCGGAGCTCCGGGTCAGTGTGCCGGGGGCTCAAGGCGGCCCTCTCCTTGGTGACCCCTGGTGCCTCATGGTGACCGCCCCCTCCACTCCCCAGTATTACGCCTGCAGCTGCATCCTGGCCTTTGTCGCCTGCTCCGTCTTCCTGCGGATGAGCCTGGAGCTGAAGGTCATGCTGCTGACAGTGGCCTTGGTGGCCTACCTGGTGCTCTTCAACATCTCCCCGTGCTGGCAGTGGGACTGCTGCGATCAAGGCCTGGCCAATGTCACCAAGACCAACGGCACCCTCAGGTGGGGCCCGCGGTGCTCTCCGGCAGCGTCCCCTTTGGTTCTTGTGTCATTTCAAACTGCGGGACAGCTGCGTCGGGGCCCGTCTGGACTGGACGCCTTGTGGGGGCCGGGGGGACCCACGGTGGCATGGCTCCCGAGCGACGGTCTGCACGCTCAGAGCTGAAGAGAGTGGCTCGGTTGCAGGTTCTCTGGGGGACGCCCCTAGTCCCACGGAGGCCTCCCGGGGGTGGGTGGGGGGCGGCCTCAGTCCAGGCCCCCTCCTTGAGCCGCATCCTGGACGTCCACAGAGTTCTGGAAAGAGCAGTTGTCTGTCACCTGTGGCCTGGGAAGGCTGGTGTGTGTGCGCTTTTGGGGGCTCTCTGCCCTGGGGGCGTTGGGGAGAGGGGCGCGGCTGCCCTTGAGCTTAGAAGGCCGGGATCTGGGGACCCAGAACCAAGTCTGCTCCCGGGGGGGTCTGCCAACCTGGAAGAAGTGTCTGGCCGCCCCCTCACCTGCCGGACTGCTCTTCCTTCAGACTTCGCCATGGCTCTTCCTGGTCGTGCAGCGTGAGCCGTGGTATCGCTGCAGAGAGGCCTCCCCACCTCCCACACCCGCTTTTCCGTGCAAGCGGACGTTCTTTAGCGTCTCGGCCACGAGCTCCGACGGCAGAGATCTCTGTCCCGTTCACGCCTTCCCGTGGGCTGGCTCAGAACGGCTGGGTCCCCCAGCCCCCCTGCACCCACGGGCTGGGGATGACTTCTGCCTTTTCCCTTCCTGCCCAGCAGCTCCCCGTTCTGTTTGTGGAAGGACCCGAAGGCGATGATCGACTTCTACCTGGCTTTGTTTTACGTCACCCTCCTCATGCTCTCCAGACAGGTACAGGCCACGGCGCCCCTGTATCCCTTGCTCAGCTTGGAGGGCGAGCTGGGATGGGGCGGGGACTCAGCAGACTCCGGGCAGACAGCCCTGTAGGGAAGCTCTGAGCCCTGGGGGACGGGTCCCTGCGTCCTCACCTCCCATCAGGACGCCAGTGACATTGGGTCACGTGGGTCACTTGAGAACTAGGTCGTGGCTGCTGTGGTTCTCAGGCCACTGGGAGGTGACTGTTGAGTTGGGAGACTTGAGCCGGAGACATTTGCCAGGGACAGAGGGTGGAGGGTGGATGGGACGGCTCAGCAGACCCCCAGGGTCAGAGCCCTGCGTGTTGCCCGGCCTGTGTGGTCCTGCCCCCGCTCGCTGCGGCCAGGACACTGACGTTCCCCGCCATCCGCAGATTGACTATTACTGCCGCTTGGACTGCTTGTGGAAGAAAAAGTTCAAGAAGGAACACGAGGAGTATGAGACCATGGAGAACGTGAACCGGCTGCTTCTGGAGAATGTCTTGCCGGCCCATGTGGCCGCGCACTTCATTGGTGACAAGCTAAATGAGGTGCGGTGCAAGCAGGGGCTGGGTCATTAGGGCACGGAGTCTGAGGGCCCAGGTGCAGTCCGGGGTCTCGCCCCCGTACGACGGGGCCGACAGGTCCGGGTGGTTGCGAGGACCGGGTGGGCGTCCAGGCATCTGTGGTCAGGACAATCCGGTGGACGGGAACGTGTATTTCACCCGTTCTGGGCAGCAGAGGTTCATAGCTGAGGAAGCAGGCCCAGTGGGTGCGGAAGCCAGGTTCCCAACTATGACTTCCTCCCACCCCGGGGGCTCTGGGCCTCAGCCAGGAGGTCCAGGGTACTGAAGAGCCAGAGGCAGCCTGGGCCTGCTCCGCCCCCACCAGTGGACTCAGTCTGACTCTTGCAACAGTCCCCAGACGGGCTGTGCCGCCTCCCAAGTTGGGTGGGGCGGCCGAGGAGCCTCGTCCTGTCTGCTGCTCCTGGTCCCCTCGCGGGGGCTGGGTGGCGTAAGGTGGTCTTCTTCCTTCCCTGCCCCCACCTCAGGACTGGTACCATCAGTCCTACGACTGTGTGTGTGTCATGTTTGCATCCGTGCCGGACTTCAAAGTCTTCTACACAGAGTGCGACGTCAACAAGGAGGGGCTGGAGTGCCTGCGTCTGCTGAACGAGATCATCTCCGACTTCGACGAGGTAGGCAGGAGTGGGTGGGGCCTCGGGGCTGAGCTCCTCCCATCGCCGGGACACACCTGTGCCTTTCTCCTCCCTTTCTTCCTAAGTATTAGGTTATGGTTATCTTCTCCGGGAGGGGCCTTTAAAGAAGTGGCAGTCCCTTATCTGCCGTTTCGGAGCTGGCCCTCCGCCTGACATAGGGTCAATCAGCCCAGCCGTAGCCTAAGTAGCCTAATGCCATGTCCCAAGGGCCAGGCCCTTCACCTCGCTGTGTCCTCATAGGGAGGAGGGTGAATGAGTAAAGGTTTCCTGAGACCATTCACATAACTTTTATTACAGGACATCGTGTTAATCTCTTACTGTGCCTGACGTACACACTAAAGCTCATCGTCGGGATGTACAGGGAGGCAGGAGCACACCGTACAGGGTTCGGGACTCTGTGGTTCCGGGCATCCCGTGGGGGACCTGGAGTGGATGGTGGGGGGCGGGGAGCTCCTGCAGTTTGATTTCCAGCAAGTCTACACCATCAACAGTTTCCGAGGAAGTCAGTCAGTTTGGACTTAATTCTCAGCTGCAAACAGTCGACCTTCCTGGGTGGACACTTCTGGGCTGCACTTGCTCCTTACACAGGAGTATGCAGATGCCCAAGGAGGGGCGGAGGAGCAGATGGACAAACCCCAGGGAGGCCTGAGATGACAGGAGCAGCCGTGTCCTGTGTCCCTGCAGGGACTGGCTGTCCACTCACACGGGGAGGCCAAGCACGAGAACTGTTAGCAGCAGGGGCGGGAAGGACCCCACCCCTTCTCGGACCCCGGGGTGGGCCCAGGCTGCAGCTGGGCCATACGGCTGTGTCCCTTCGTCCCGCAGCTGCTCCTAAAGCCCAAGTTCAGCAGCGTGGAGAAGATCAAGACCATCGGCAGCACGTACATGGCAGCTGTGGGGCTCAGCGTCCCCTCAGGGACTGAGAACCAGGTACAGAGCTGAGCTGGTGGCCTCAGGTCCCAGCCCCACATAAGGGGGATTCCACAGTCCCCAGACCCGTCACCTGACTTTGAGGGATACCCCTTCCTGCCCTGTCTTATGAGCCAGGGGCAGAGGCCCTCACAACTCAGCCCAGGGGAGGCGTGCGGTGGGGGGGTGTAGGTGGCTACCTCCCTGTCGAGGCGGGAGGCCGGGGCGAGGGACCCCACGGCCCCTGTGCACATGTCCCACAGGACCTGGAGCGGCAGCACGCGCACATCGGCATCATGGTGGAGTTCAGCATCGCCCTGATGAGCAAGCTGGACGGCATCAACCGGCATTCCTTCAACTCCTTCCGCCTGCGAGTGGGTGAGGGCCCAGGCGGGTAGGCCGGGCCGGGCCACGCCGGGCGGCTGCGGTTGGTCCCGGAGACCGGCAAGCCCCCGTTCCGGTCTGACGGCGCACTTGACTGGCCAGCGGGGAAGGTTTGAGAACCCCCCCCTTGATCATACACCCCAGCGCCTGGGTAACTACTTTTTGCACACTGTTAACGAAGTTACCTTGGAAAGTGTTAAGTAGATAGGAACGTATCACTACAGAACACGGGGAGCCAAAAATCATGGCCTGGAAACCCTAAAACACACTGCAGACGAAGCAGCTACGAAGCGGACTACTCTGTTAGCTAACGGGGCCGGTGCTCAAAGCCCATTCATGCTTTGTTGGGAGACGGGGAGAGGGCGAGGTGCCGCCCTCAGCCCGACTTCTAGAGCGAGCAGCCGGTATGCGGGCCGCCCGGGAGCACCTGTCCCACGTCCCGAGTGAGGGCCCCCGTCACGGGCTCGGGAAGCCCCTTCAACCTGCATTTCAGGGCTGGTCGGTGCTTTCTGTGGCTGCTGCTGGACTGCAGCCTCCTGTGTCCCTACGACCTGCTAACTGCAAATGTCATCTTCAGGCATAAACCACGGGCCTGTGATCGCCGGGGTGATCGGGGCACGGAAACCTCAGTATGACATCTGGGGAAACACGGTCAACGTCGCCAGCCGAATGGAGAGCACTGGAGAGCTTGGCAAGATCCAGGTACAACCCCACTGCGGAAGGCCATGCCCTGGGGGAGGAACCTCCCAGAGCGGGGGCACCGGGCATCCATCAGCTTTGTGACTCCAACCCGGACAGGGACACCAGACGTGTGTGCTGTTTGGGGCCGGTTCCTGGCTGTGCCCTCAGCAGCAGGCGTTCCTCCTGCTTCCCAAGACTTTGGTGTCTTTTCCTTTTCAGGTTACTGAGGAGACGAGCACCATCCTCCAGGGACTGGGTTACTCTTGCGAATGTAGGGGACTGATTAATGTCAAAGGCAAAGGCGAGCTGAGGACTTACTTTGTCTGTACAGACACTGCGAAGTTCCAAGGGCTGGGACTGAATTGAGGGCTTCTGCTAGGGGAACGTGCCGGAAGCGGGGAGCACCCAGACCCCCGCCAGGCCCAGGGGCAGTCGCTGCCCTGACAGACGGCTGTGTGTGGACTTGGACTTGTGCTAGAGGATCTCTTGGAATGTGCACCAGACCCCGGCCCGAGGCGACCACCGCACCTTGCCACACCCAGGCAGCTGGGACACACGTGGAGCCCCTGGGTACCATGAGACCTCCGAGCAGGAGCTGGACACACACCCGGCCACAGCCCGCGAGCCGCCAGCGGGACTGGTCTTTCCTACGTCCAGAACCACGCTGAGTTGCCCGGGATGGACTGGGCACGCCCCCCTTCTCCCAGCGGAGCAGCCACAGGACTGTAAATCTCTCACACAGGCACCCCGGAAAAGAGCTGAAAGGGCGTTTTCCATCTAGGGTTTCACACAGTAGGGTGAGAACACACGACAGACGCTTGCCACTGGTCCGCTCTGGCACGTGTCTGATTTAAATGGGTGTATTAGTGGAGGTTCTATCCTTTATAATGACTTCTTAGATGCCAGACAAAATCTCTTCCCTCCAGTGTGCGGTCTTTTTAACCACGGACATATGACCGCTGACGGGTCGGCGGGGCCGAAGAGCACGGCCGTCACTCGGCAGGACGGCGAGGAGCGGCGCAGCCCGGAAAGAAAGGCATAGCCTCCTGGCCCTTTCCCTGAGCGGCGTGCGCACCTGGAACACCCTCCTGAGCTCCATCCTGCTTCCTGTACTGGGAAGGAATGGGGTCTTATGTAGACAGAACGCAGCCTGCAGTGCTCCCTGCCTTTTCTTTAGTCCTCACAGCTCACCTGCAGAAGCTTCAGGATGAAAAGCGCGTCCTCCACAAATGCGCAAAGAGGTTCCAGCACCTGGGAAGCCAGCCCGCTCAGCCGCAGAGATGGACTTGTTCTGAATGGAAGGGATCGAGTCAGATGCAAAAAGCCAGGTTTTCAAGGCATGTCTCACGTGCTGCAATTCTAAAAGAATCAGGTCAGCCTTTGCTGCGTTTCAAGGTTGAGAAGGAGCCAAACTGCTTGTTTCTCTTTCTGAATCAGCTTCACCTCCGCCTCCCCAGAGCACACCTGGGGTTCACTGCAGAGCAGGGACGCCCAGCTGGGAGGCCTCCAGGAAGCCCCTGCAAGTACAGCAAATCCAGCACATGGAGACTTCAGAAGCTTACACAGTGCCGCAGCCAAGGGCAGGGAGGACCGGGCCTGAAGCCGCTGTCTGCGGGCTGACGCGCCTCGGAAGGGGCGTATCTAATTCTCACAGGGTGCCGGGGGCACCAGTGCAGGTCCGAGGTCTGAATGTAACTGGAATAGATGTGAACGAATTACAGGAACTTGCTGGATACAGGAATTTTGTGGCAAAAATGCTATTAAGGGGAATAACTTTACTTAAACTGTTTCTGCACCAACTTCCCCTACGAAGGGCTGGTTTCAGGGCACTACCCTGAAATCTGTACACTTAACTCAGCAGTGGCCTCCTGGGAAGTCAGGAAGGTTCTGCCCCTGATCCGAAACAGACACACACAGGTGCACTGGGCCTCTCCAAGGTGGACGTTCTACTCTCTTAATATTCGAATCACTTTGCTCTTCCAGCAACAGAAATCCCAATTAGGAGTTTAAAAAGTAGTTCCCATAGGTTTTTATTTCCAGTTCAAGCACTGTGCTCAGACAAGAGTATTTTGGAGGTTTTTAGGTTTTCACGTGCAGATCGTGGTGCATGATGGACCATAAAAAGCACTCAGTTTTCATCAGCCTGTTTTCCGGTCCCAAGCCCTTTCACCACTGGCGCCATTTTGTCTTAGGACAGGACAATTATCTTTTCTAACACTGACCTTTTCTGGGGGTCAAGGGCTCGATTAAGGGTGGACTCCCTGACTCTAGTGAAAATCACACCTGACATTCTCTGGTTTACTCATTTAAGATTTCCTAACAGAGAAGAAGATCATTAACCAGTTTCTACACTGTGTATATAACAGGTCAACGTACAGAAACAGGTTCTGAGGGTGCAACAACTAGCAATGACTCTGCATCCGAGTATTGATAGATCTGTAACATTTGTTTCAAAATGTTGTATTTCATTTTTATAAAGTACCAGTGTTTCTACTTTGTTTAGCATTTCGTACATTAAATTAGCAATGTGGAAAACATGAATGTCCTAGTGTTTTGAATTTAATATTTTCTAGGTCTCTAGATCTAAAGTTTAAGAATTACTGCCTGAATTAAACTCTAAAAACACTTGATAAAACATACTTAAACAATTTTAAAGGTCTTCTGGCATATGGTTTTAAGTAGGTGTTTATTTTTTCATTTTTTAAAAGTCTGGGAGAGAGACAGTGCAAGTGGGGGAGGGGCAGAGAGAATCCCAAGCCGGCTCGTGGGGCTTGAACCCAGGAAGCTATTAAATCGTGACCTGAGCCAGATGCTTAACTGAGCCACCAAGGCACCCCTTTAGTAGGTCATTTTTAACTCTCCTGAAAGAATCCCTTCTCTTTCACCCTTCTTGTTCTTGCTAAATATTAGTTTTCAAAGCCAGGACAATAAAAATAAAACAACTTCCAGCCTGGGGGTTTTACAGACGGCTCTGTACAGTCCGAGCAGGGCCATAAATGTGGCTCGTTCACTGAGCGAGGCTGCAGTGTGGTGCCGGGGATCGGAGGGGGCCACACGTCTCATGGTCTCCCACTCAGCTACCTGCTCAAGAAGCTGACCTTTGCGTTTCAGATAAAACTACATGACTGTTAGTCCAAGGGACACGCGGAGGCATGGGTGACCCGGGAGGAACGGTAAACAGAAATGTAAACTTTAAGCTCCACGTTCCCTCTCTTATTTAGCTTATCCTTTTACCACAGTTCTAAGTGACTCTCAAAAAATGGGAAACAACAAACCAAACAGGACCGCCAGACAAGTGAGTGCTAGGAGACTCCTGGGGTGACCTTTGGGGGTGGGGGAGAGGGAGGGTGGCACGGGGGAAGCACCTCCTCCATACGGCGTCATTCCCCTCAAGTGCACAGGGGAAACACTAGCAGATTCTTAAAGTGTGTTCGGTGTATTGCCTCCACAATGTGACAACAGGAAACCTCGCTGGATGGGGGTTTTAAAGACATGTCTTTGCTCTGGTCCCGTCTGTGCCCCCGAGGGAGCGGCAGTATCACTATCTGACCCAAACACGCCCAGGTCCCCTCCTCCTTTCTGCTCCAGGGGGCGGCAGGTCAGAGTCCGTGCCAGTCCTCCCTCATGGGCCCTTTCTTTAAATAAACCATCCCGATGAGATCTGGTAAGTCAGGAACTAGCTGGTGATAATTTCTCTTATGAGGAGTTTGGCAAACGTGGAAAAACGAGGGACTTCAATTATTTGGGGGACTTGCTGCTTTTAAGGAATGGTCCTGAAAAGGCTGTTTTATTTCCTAAGTGCTTCTCTATCACTTCATCCTCAGACCCAGCCCCGGGAAAATTGTGGTCAAGGTGGCTCAGCCAATCACACGATACACCTCGCAATCCCTGGCTCAGCTTTATTACCTAATAGAAGTCCAATCTCTGGAACGTTAAAATTGTTCCAAAGTTTAATTAAAAACACAATTTACAAATATTTAATATCTTCTGAAAAGCATCTCCAAGTTAAGAATGAAAAAAATATGTACATAATACATAATGAAGTACCAGTTAGCTTCAAATCCCATCCAGTCCACACTCGGCAACACCGGTCTTTTTAGGCTCTTCAAAATCTGAAAAAAAAAGTTACAGCTTCATTTAGCACTTCTCCCCTTTTAAGGAAAAGGTAAAGGTATCATCCAGAAGACTGAGTGCCAACAGCCCTTCTTTGCCATGTCTGAGGCTGAAGACTAGAGGTACTACTGGGCTATCACTGTAGCTCTTTTGGCAAATGCGTGAAACCTTTATTTCCTTTACATCTTGTCTAAAGAATTAAGGAGTTTATACATCATCACGGTGCAGCGACAAAAACCCTTTCAGGGTTACTTGGCGGACAGGACCGACGTTCCTCTTACAACAGCCTTCCATTTTCCCAGAGACGCGGGGCACGTACCTTCCGTTAAGTCTACGAAGTTGTTTCCCGTGACGGGGGAGGGGACGGAGATCCCCATCGCTTTCCGAACCCCGTACATGCTCACGACGTCGCCTGGAGTGACCTGCTGTGCAAGTTCTTTCAGATTGTTGGTCACTTGTTCAGCTAGGAAGGAAAAAAACAAAAACAGTTCTAGGTACTGAAACGTGGTTCCTTTAGATTAAAACAAAAAAGTCACAGCAACAATACAAACTTGACCCTGGAACGACAGGGGTTTGCACTGTGCAGGTCCACTTATATAGGTTTTTTTTTTTTTTTTGATAACGCAGGCCTGTAAATGTTATTTTCTCCTATGATTTTAATCCTTTCTTTTCTCTAGCTTTACCGTATGAATTAGTACAGAACATACGAGCCTGTTAGGCGACTGTTTTTAGGTAAGGCTTCGGAGCAACAAAGGGCTATCACAGTAGTTAAGTTTGGAGGGAGACAAAAATCACATGTGGATTTTCAACGGTGCAGGGTGGGTGGGTGGCTGGGGTCAGCACCCCCAACCCCCACGCTGTTCAAGGGTCAACTGTGTCAACGCAAAAATAAGTCACCCACAGTTCACGTCGGCGTGGCCTGACAGCGCCATCCCTTCTCAGTTTTCCCTCTAAACGTTCCCCGACTCTCTTCTTCCCGCAGGTGCGACCTACCGAGGTGCATCTCCCTGTAGGAGGGGCCCAAGAGACAGATCATGTTGGGAGGGGGTCTCGTGCTCAGACGCTCGTTCTGGGCTTCCTGCAGCTCTCTGAGCAATCTGGTGGTCTCGTCAAGTTTCTTCTGGAACATTTCAGCTTCTGTACGGTGCGAAGAATAACATGCTTAAGAAAATGTGGACGTACTTGTGTTGCATCTTGTGCGGTAAAGGGAGTCCCGTGCTCTGGGGCTCTATGTACCGGCTGGGCTTCTCTCCTCAGAGGAGTGACCCCTTCAGAGGAAACCACCGCCACAGGCACGCTTCCCCACTCGTGGACACACGGCCAGCCAAGACTTCCTGCGGTCAATGGCTGTGTTAATCTGTACTAAGGTGATGTTAAATATGGACAGCCTGGGTCATGAAGTGACACTCACCTTCAGAGTCAAAAACTTCAACAGGAGTGCCAAAATTTGTAACTGCTTTCAGTGCTGTGAACCTGTCCTGGTTACTGGAGTCTAAGCGCCCTGCTGGCTCTACTTCTGTAATCTGCTTTTAAAAACAAGAAAAAAAGAAGGAAGAAAGGAATTATTCGAGCTTGTTAAATCCCACAGTGCTAGAATGAGAAATCAATAAGATAGCTTGTGTGTAAGATAGCCAAGCTGTCCCACCTATTTACTCTGCAGTTAGTTTTGCCACCTACAGAAAATGTCTTTCCAGAATACTTTAATAAAGTGCCATTCCCAAAGCCTGGCCAGAAAGCGCCCCGTAATGCACACTCCTCTGCGGTGACCCGGCGTGTCATCATACGCGGCCTGCTCCAGGCGGCAGCCACAGACAGACTAAAGGAATGAGGGGCTCGGCAGTGCCTGCACTGTGACGAGCTTCTGGGGACTGTGACAGTGCCTCGTGCTTCCGAGGCTCACAGGCAGTCCACACACCTGCAAACCCACAGCAGAGCTGCATGACATACTTCCAGTCTCTTCCCTGCCACAGAGCCAGGCTGTCAGCATTGCACGGGAGAAACAAAATCTCAGAAAGGCTGGGGCTTTAATTTTGGAATTACAAGACTCAGAGTTTCCATAACCCCAATACTACTCTTTAGGAAGAGACTGACCCAGATAACAAGTTACCAGAAGTGAACAGTTCCACTTAGCCTTTGGCACGGCCCTCGACACATTTATGACAACAGCCGGTCTCTCCGCCTACACCGGGCAGGCGTGTGGAGGAGAAGCATCGGCACGTACTTGCGGCTCTCCACGGCGGCTGGGCCCTCACGACCCCACGCGGTGAGCTGCTCCCCTTTTACCAGCTGCCTTTCCCATCCTCAGGAGTTCCTGCCGCTCACTAGGCACACGACCTGGCCTGGCTCCTCCTCCTTAAAACATGGTTTGGCAGGTGCCACATCCGCATCTGTCTTTCCTCATCTCCTCAGGCTTTCTTCCCCGTCAGTTACCAGGCTCACATCTGTCCGCTCTCACGTCCCAGCTTCCCTCTTTTCCTCTAACGCTCTAACCTCTACCTCTGTCCCCACCGATTTACCAACACTGCTCTGATGAAGGTTACAAACGCCACCTGCCACTCTCACAGGGCTCACAGGCAGTGGCTGACACCAGACTCCTCCCTGCATGTCTCTCTCCTGTGGTTTTTCTACCTCAACTACTGGTCTTCTCCAAAGTTCTGTCCTTCAAGTTTTTTTTTTTTTTTAAAGAATAGTGTCTTTGATAAATGTATAGGAACATTTTCTTGACTTTGGCCTGAGTGATGATTTCTTGGATATGAACACAAAAGCACAGCAACAGAGGCAAAAATAAAGTGGGATTGCAGGAAACTAAAAATCTATCGCATGGCAAAGGAAACAATCAACAGAATGAAGAGAGACAACCTATGGAATAAAAGGAAATATTTACAAACCATGTTATCTGATAAGGGATTAATTTACAAAATATATAAGGAACTCAACACAATAGCATCAAAAGACTCAAAAATATTTTAAAAATGGGGAAAGGACTGGAATAGATATTTCTGAAAAGAAGACATGCAAACGGTCAACATGTACATGAAATGGTGCCCAACACCACTAACCAGCAGGGAAACAAATCAAAATCACAATGAGCCAGCATGGCCATCAAGGACGACGACAAAGCAAAAGACAGCAGCGCTGGTGAGAATGTGGAGAAAGGAGCACCTTCGTGCACTATGGGGGGGGGCGGGGAGTACAAACTGGTGTGGCCATTACTGGAAACAGTATGGAGGTTTGTTTCTCAAACCACCAAAAAAAGAACTACTATATGACCCAGCAATCCCGTGTCTAGGTGCATAGACGAAATCGGCACGTGCACGCACACACACACACGCGTACACACACAGCATGGAATATTGTTCAGTCTTCAACAAGCAGGAAACGCTATCACTGTCACAACACAGATGCCCCTGGACCTGTCCTTCCACCTTTACTCAGGGCACGGGTTCCCTTGGGACAGTCACGTTCACTTGAATGACTACAGTAATATCCTCCCTTACGCCAATGACTTC